CAAAACAGAGCTGATGAGATTCTTTTAGTGAGACAATCTGACCACTCTGGCTGCCTTATCATTAAAAGCAGAGAATTCTATTGCTATGTGATGATCTAAGTACTATGGGTTTTCATGGCAGAAAGTATTAAAATTGTGTGGTCGTCATTTGTGGTTCAATGTGTTCATAGACTCAAACAGGATTTATCCCCAATGAAACATGGTAAATATGCAATTTGGAACATTAAAGCACAACTATCTATAGTTTCTCTATTCTGGAAGAGCCTATGAAATCAGAGGGGAGAGACCTCTTTTTTAGTAACTTTAGTATTCAGATAATTTAATTGGGAACATTTGACTCACCACCACTGTATAGAACAGAGCTGGTCACTCATTCCTAATATCTAGTCCTGGTTGGAGAAGCAGTTGATATCCCTTGCATTCCTCGACACACAGATATCTGGGTGACAGAATGAAAGAGTTTGAGTCCAAATGCTCTAGGCTGTTAGGGATCTCAGCCGTTTTCACTGTTCTCTTTTAAGCTCAATCAGTCCTAGCGTTCTACATCAACATCAACAGTGAATGTTCACTTGACAAAATACATTCATAACTACTCTATATTCCAGCTCTCTTGACAACACCATTCAATTATTAACCTGTCTTTTCTGAAAATGATGCCATAGCATTAAATTCATGAGCTGCTTTCCCTGCTGCATTTTTTTAAGTTTTTAAATAACAAAGACAACCTCTGTAGTTATTTAATACTTCCAGAAAGGAGTACATTTTTTAGCTACTTCATGATTAACTATTGAAATGTGTAAGCCTAGGAATTTAAAAGGTCTGTAAAAACCAAACACCTTCTAAATCTGACTTCCATTTGAAAAATTAGAGGACCATTGAACTCTTATTATAACTGCCTGTTGCTTAAAAGATCATACCGAATAACAAAGAGAAGTAAATAGATTCGATGAAAGGAATTTCTGTGGCTGGCTGCTTGGGTTTGTTCTGTGTAAAATGCACATTTATTTTAAATTAGACAAATGGCAGGATTTCCTGCCTAATGAGACTGCTTGGACTCGTGGTTTGGAAGTGTCACCTCCATTCTTTATCAAATAATCATAATTAGGGTGAATGAACCAACCAGGGAAGTATGAAGTAAGTCAAAAGTGTATTGAATGGAAACAAAAAAGACCTCCAACAAGCAGACCACCAGGGCACAATCTAGGGGAAACATCTATAGTGCAAACACACAGCCCCGGAAAAGCTGTTGGGCACCAATACTGTGACTGTTGAATTATAGAGCTCATAGCAAGTTTGAATCCTGACTGTCCACATTGCCTACCTAGTTCTTTTTAAATTACATCCATTCTCTCAATACAGCCCTCAAATATTCAGGTGTTTTTTTCTCTCTCTTTCACTGTTCATCAAAGCAGCCCATGATAGATTTAAATTGCATTAGTTCTTACATTTGCTTGTGGTATTTTCTGCTCCAATTTGAGAAGCCTTTCAACAACATTGGCATTTCCCTGCCCTAGCACACAGATACAAAATTCTTCTGAATCCCTGCACATACTCCTTTGGATGCATTGTAGAATCTGTATCAGATAGTAATAATTGCTATCAGACCCCTCTAAAATTCTGTTTTTACAAAGTTTCAGGATTGCTAAGTGTCTTTTTCTTTAAGAAAGATTCCTGAGGGAAATTTCTGGGCCAAGCCAAAACTAAGACCTGAACTTTGATTAAGTACGAAGGACATGATAATTACTACAAGATAGATGAGGTCAAGGCCAGGTTATTTTTCAAAATGGTGGAAAGACAGAAGAGAATCATGTAATTAATTTGAAGGAAGCATGGAAGTGGATTTTGGAGACCTGGTGGCTCAAGAAAATGGGAGGTAGCAAACAGATTCCAGATTAGTGACTATTAGACATTGGAATGATAACACATATATATTACCAGGCCTCATTTTCCATGAATTCTGATTCAGTAAGTCAAAGGTGGGGCACAAAGATCTACATGTTTTAGATGTACAGATGATTCTGATTCACGTTGTCATCACAGAGAACACTTTTGAGGAGCACTGTACTAATATGTGATTGAACTCTTTTAGTGACAAGGGACATAAACTCATCTCAAATTTATTTAAGCCAACGAAGCAGGATTGTATTAATTCAAGTGGTCAAAATGTTCAAGAGCACATCTTTAAGGTTAAGATGAAGGTGGACCCAGGTGCTGAAAGGAAATCATCTGGAAACTTTTTCTGTCTTCTGGTTTTGTTTTCATACTTGCTTGCTTCATTCTCAGGCAGGCTTTGACTAAGAATGGTACTAATATGCCACTAACAGATCTGGCTTAAAGTATACTAGCTTAGTGAACCTATTAGGAAGATGACTTCTATTTTAAATTAGTTCAACAAATTTACTTTGATTTAATTATATTGAATTAATTTATTAAATTATTAATCTATGGAATTAATTTGGCCTACTGAAATAAATGCAGTGGGAAGGAGGATGGAACATTAACTACCTTTGTCTGTCCACCCCCCCACCCCGGATTTTGGAATGAGGTCTTCACACACAAACCAAATGGATTGAAGAAGAATCAGGATTAGAATGTGGGATTGGATTTCCAAAAGGAAACCTGGATCCTACTCTCAGAAGAGGAAATTAATGCTAAGAAAGAATAAGCAATGTTATATCCACTACACGTGGATTCAGATAAAGCAAAGAGACTCCTGGACCAGAATTCAATGAATCTAGGTAATGGCCAGCAACTCAGCAAGATGTTAGCTTATGGAATGGCGGTCCCTTAATGTCGAGTAAGGATGTGCTTTCTTTACACAGAATGTGTACTCTCTGCTTTGAAGAAGCACAAGTGTCTAGGAATGTGTTCAAAAGGTTCTGGAAAAGCTGAATTCAATAGGTACTGGAAGCTATTCTCACAGAAAGGGCAAAGTTCTTTGAGGGATTTTGATAGATGGGTGTAGAAATCTGAATGCAAAGACTTCAGCAACAGACTATTAAAGAACTTAGTTGAGGCACCTGGGTGGCTCAGTGGATTAAACAGTTTGGGTCATGATCCCAGGGTCCTGGGATCGAGCCCCATATCGGGCTCCCTGCTCAGCAGAAAGTCTGCTTCTCCCTCTGCCTGTCCCTTCTTGTCTGCTCTCTCTCTCCCTCAAATAAATAAAATCTTAAAAAAAAAAAAAAGAACTTAGTTATAATGGGGGCCTGGGTGGTACTGTCCGTTAAATGACCAACTCTTGGTTTTGGCTCAAGTCATGATCTCAGGGTCATGAGATGGAGCCCTGCACTGGACTCCACACTCAGTGGGGAATCTGCTTGAGATTCTCTCCCTCCCTCTCCCTCCACCCCTCCCCCTACTCTCTCATTCTAAACTATATAAATAAATCTTTTAAAAAAAGAATTAGTTATAGAAAATGATTCCTTAAGGTGATTTACCTCTAATCAGAAACTCTGAGAAAGTTTAAAGGTTTATATAGTATGTTGGTTCCAAAATACATTTTGCTTCAATATATTGTTCAGGAAAATTAAGAAAGGATATAATAATTATGTTTGATAAATGAGAAAGACCATAATAATCTGTGATTAAAAGTTATAGGTTGATGTGAAAGGTAAGATACACATTGTTGGTTTGTTTATTACCTGTCAATTTAAGGTCTTTAACATTCAGCACATGTCACATGGTATTAAGCTATGCATATATACACACATATTATATATAAAACATATATATACATATATATGTGTATGTAAATTATATACTTTACTTTTTTAATTTAGTAAAATAAGTAGAACTTACAATTTACCATTTTAATCATTTTAAGTGCATAGTTTAGTGGTATCAAGTGCATTCACATTGTTGTACAACTATTATCACTATCTATATGAAAAACTTTTTCATTATCACAAAATAAAACTCTGTATCCGTGAAACAATAACTCCCCATTCCTCCCTGAGAGCCACTGGTAACCACTGGTCAAACTTCTGTCTCTATAAATTGGACTACTTTAGATACTGCAGCTAAGTTGAATCATGTAGTGTTTTGTAGGGTTTGCCTTTTTGTAGCTAGCTTATTTTACTTAGCATAATGTCCTCAAGGCTCAACCATGCATAGCATGTAGGAGAATGTCTTTCCTGGGCGCCTGGGTGGCTCAGTTGGTTGGGCAACTGCCTTCGGCTCAGGTCATGATCCCGGAGTCCTGGGATCGAGTCCCACATCGGGCTCCCGGCTCAGCGGGGAGCCTGCTTCTCCCTCTGACCCTATCCCCCCTCATGCTGTTTCTCTCTCTCTCTCTCTCTCAAATAAATAAATAAATAATTAAAAAAAAAGAATGTCTTTCCTTTTTTTCTTTATTTTTCTTTCTTTCCTTCTTTCTTTCTTTTTTTTTTTTTTGAGAAAGGAAGAGTGGGAGTGGAGTGGGGGGGTTGGGGAAGAACAGAGGTAGAGAGAGAGAGACAATCTTAAGCAGGCTCTATGCCCAGCTTGGAGCCTGACTCAGGGCTTGATCTCACAACCCTGAGATCATGACCTGAGCCAAAACCAAGAGTCAGTCACTTAACTGACTGAGCCACAGGTGCCCCATGCCTTTCCTTTTTTAAAGCCAAATAATATTCCATTGTAATAATATACTACATTTTTAAAAAATCCATTCACCCATCAGCAGAGCAGACATTTCAAGCTGTTTCTATCTTTTGGTTATTGGGACAATGCTCCTATGACCATGGGTGTACAATGTGTGTGTGTATATATATATATACACACACATACACACATTATACATACATATACATATATATTCATATACACACACATATATATAATCTGTGATTAAAAGTTATATATATACACAATATACACACATATATATATGGAAAAGGAAGTCTACAAATGAATGGTTTTTAGTTGGTAAATATCACACTTTTATATTTTGGATTATAACTGTCATTAGCATAAAAAATCTTATAACTTATAAAATGATATTCCTTCAACACAAGTGAGTGCTTGCTTTGGCAGCATGTGTACTAAAACTGGAAAGGTACAGAGAAGATTAACGTGGTCCCTGCACGAGGATGACGTGCAAATTCAGAAGCGTTCCATTATTAAAAGAAACAAAACAAAACAAAAAAACAAGTGTAGGGAAAGCCTAAAGAAATTAATTGTGGAAGTTTATAGGCTTTCAATAAGCATGACTAGATTTTAAGTGACTGCTGTGTAAATTACATTAGGGTGTGTTACACATCGTTGCTCCCAGCGGGTGATACCCCCTATGGTACTCAGATGACCTATAGGTGGCATCTGGACAAACATTTTAGTTCCATGTTTATATATATATTTTGTGTGTATTGTGAAAACATGTCACCAGTGCATGAAACATGAGACAACCTTAAAATACTGTCTTGTTAAAACACACACAAAACAGTGAGTCTGAAACATATATTTTTTTAGAAAAGTAGTAAGTGAATATGGCAAAAATTGTTAAGGTAGTAACTGAAATTTTGGTAATTTATCATGTACTTAGGAAGAAATAGCAGAAAATAAACCTATTACCAGGAAGAAAGATAAAAGTCAATTAAGTTTACATTTGTATACATAGAAATGACAGAATAAGAGGTCTTAGCACATTAGAAAGAATAAACTAATGTAGTATTTATTAAATGCATGTGCATACAATAGACATAAAAAAAGGAAGAATTTGACTGGAGTTTGAACTAAGACTTGAAAGAAGTGATAAGAGGTTTTTGCCTCATTGTTCACAGTGCTGATGTCTGATTCTCTTCCTGCCAAAATTAGCTTAAAGAGAATGGAATGATTTTCACACTGAGTCCTTTTAGCAGATGCACCTGGTTTTCTTGTTCATCGTCAGTTTCAAACCCCAAATGCACTGAACATGTTAACACTGCATTTAGCAGACCTAAGAACAGTTAAGTTAGCTCCTAGCAGATGATTATTATTGTTTTCTATTCAAAACTTTTTTTACATGACATCTCAACACTAGAGGTGAATTGTAAAACTCAGTTCAAATTACTTGACCTTTTCTCTGTTGAAGGCTAAATGGGTAATAGACAGGTTCTCATAGAATATCTCTAAAGTAACTAATGAATCAAATAGTTTATTTTTTGATATTTTGAAGTGTGGCATTTCCTAAAACGTACCCATGATGAAACTTGCTTTTTTCGTATCTTTTTTTTTCTATTACAAAGCAAGAGTCAAAATAGTAAAGGATGAAAAATAGGATATTTTGGTAGGAAATGAAGTCATTCATTTTTAGGGAAACAACTTAAAAACATCAGTTCTTAATCTCAGAAGGCCATATACTCACGATGCTATAGTCTTAAAGATCTGAGTTGAGAGCATTGCATAGGCATATCTGAATATGTTTCAAATGAGCACTTCTCAATTATCTTCACATGAAATACAGGAACCAGCAAACTAGAACACTACATGGAAAAGGACTTCACCTGAAACTTCAGAAGCCCACAGTTCCACCACAGCTTTAGATCCATAGAAAGTGCTTAATATACTTAAACTTTTGTGGATGACTGATAATATATGCTCATTTGAATGAAAGTCATCTAAAATTTCTAACTTGAACTTAAAAATAAATATCCAAAAATTAAGGAAAAGCTAGCTGTCTTTTGAAAGTTAAAACTTACGTTTTGTAAGCACAAGATTAAAGGCAGAAAATTTTAAACACTTTTACAGTTTATGTCAAAGATATAAAAGTATTTGGAGTTTATGGGAAAATGTATTAAATCTGAGAATACAACACGCTTTTTCTGGATTGCTTGGTCTTTTTCTTTCTCTTTTTCTCTCTCCTGCCATAACTGCATCCATCAAAATATATCTGTCCTAGATTATTAAATTTTATTGCACTTCCTAGATTGTGGAGTACTTCTGATTTTTTAACATATTAACTTCAAATTTAGGTATTATAAGGTCAAAGCTGATTCTTCTTAAAGAAAAACAGGCTAATTTTATCCATTTATTTGATATCCATCAAAGCCATCATAAATGATTTATTGAATATTTTTAAAAGATAAATACCTTTTCATATGGGTCTCTAAGAAAATGCTGGAATCACAGAGTATGCCCTCTGATGATTTTTATATTCAAAAAGATTCAGTCTCTTTAAAGTTGCAATAATTAGAAACTATTTTTGCAATTTAAAAATATATATGTATACTATCAACATTCTCAGATTCTGGAGTCTATGAATGAATATTTTTCAAAAATTGGTATAAAGCACTTGAAAATACAACTTGGAATATTGGTAACATTTTAAGAGTGAAAAATATGGAATTAACATTCCCTATTAATATTATTTTTCAAAATGTGTTAAAGTCAGTATTATGCAGCATTTTCAAACGTGTTTCATGAACACACTATTTTTTGCAAAATGGTTTGTGATAAAAGGAGTTAGTGGTCAAAGAAATTTGGGATGTGTGTTCCATCAAGCCATAATGCACATTAGCATATTAAGGTCTCTAAGGCAGTAGAATTACTCTAACATGGCTCTAACTTGAACTTGTGTTTCATGATGTTTTTTAGCACACATATGGCACGGCTCTCAGAACTGATGAAGGAGACCATAGAAAATGATGTTTAAGAGGATACTTTGGGTCCAAAATGCTGGGATTCAAATCTTGCTACTTAAGTCTTCATCTTGGAGTTTTTTTAATCTGTGAAATGGGAACACTGATATAATAGCATCTGTCTTATAAAATAATTATGGGTATTATATTAATATATGTAAGGGCTTGCAATAATGCACAGAACAATGGACACTTAAAAATGCTATTATCATGATTTGGCAAACTGTTCTGGGGCTTTGAAATAACCCATGATCTATTCATTTGTTCCCATTCTCTCATTAATGTGTATGTATATGTATGTGTGTGTGTGTGTATATGTATACATATGTATACATGTACATCTATCCATCTAATCTAATCTATTTTATTAAGTTTAATTCTTGGGGGTGCCTGGATGGCTCAGTTGCTTAAGCATTTGTTTTCAACTCAGGTCATGATCCGGGGGTCCTGGGATCCAGCCCTGCATTGAGCTCTCTGCTCAGTGGGGAGCCTGCTTCTCCCTCTTCCTCTGCAGCTCCCCCCACCCCCTGCTCATGTTCTCTCTCTCTCTCTCAAATAAATGAATAAAACCTTTAAAAAATAAAAATAAAAAAATAAGTTTTATTTCTCAACATATTACAAAATACTTTCAATGCAAAATCATAAATAAAAGCAATCTCATCCCTTGGGTTAAGATATTTAGTTTGTTAAAAAGCAGTTTACTATATTTTCTTAAAATAGAAATAAAATCATATCCTTCTCTCCAGGAACACTGTCCAGTTAGCTATATGAATTAGAGATAGCATTTGCCAAAGACATACCCACCTTTGACTCAGCCCTCTCATTTCCAGACTACTACACAGAACTCCTTAAATCTTTTGCTGGGACTTTGAAAATGAGTTTCTGCTCAAATATGTGTTCTCTTTTGTAACCAGAATATAAGTTTCTCAGAGTATTTTCCTAACACTGTGTATCTGGTTGCTAGATAGACATGGTCTGTTCAGATTTCATTCCTAGGTTAGACATATATAACATTTTTATGTGAGATTGGAAGAAAAAATTCCACATTGCCCATATATTGCTCTTATTTTTCCCAGAGTCTCATGGAATGAGCAAAAATGCAAACTTATTTATGCTTTATTTTAATTAAAATGATCTTTATTTTTTAAATGAATCATCAGTGTAATGTATATTGCTAAATAATAAGACAGGAATTTATTGGCTTACATAATTATACCATTCAAGCTGTGAAATTTACTTTAGGTACTTCTGTATGCAAAGCCTTAAATCAATGGGTCTCAGCGGGGATGGTACCACCCTCCAGGGTACATTTTGAAAATTTATGGAGGTTATTTTTAGTTATCATAACATTTGGGGGGTAGTCACTACTAGAGTTTTGTGAATGGGGCCAGAAAGGTTAGACATCATGCAATGATCAGGATTGTTCTGCAAAAAAATATTATCCATATCCTGCAGAGTTCTTAAATATCTTCCATGCTTCCAAAATGCATGTTTATACCTAAACCTATAGACTAAAACTCCATTTTACATATAAATTCAAAACAGGTTTTTGGGGCAGCTTTAAAGCAAACTGAATAGCTAAGAAATGCAAATATTATATAAATCAAAGAAAAGTTGTTCTGTTTTAAACTTTACTAAGAATTGCATATCATTTTGAATTTTCCATTAAATGTGGTCACATTTCTCATGGAATTTTAATCTGGATCATTCTCAATTTGTAGGTTTTGAATGCAAATTTGTAATAGAGGATATCTGAGACTCTTTTCATAGCCAGATGAAAATATTATTAAAATTAGTGGAGACTTAAAATATAGGCATCTCATTAAATTTTATTAATAAAGCTTGTCTAAAAATAACTCATGTTCTTGACTTTCTATATTTGAGTATTTCTACAGCACAATGAAAATTTTAATTGTGAGAAAACATTGAAAAAATTTATTTGCTATACTTAAAGTTGACCCATAAACACCATGGGGGCTATGGGCAGTGACTTTCTCATGCAGTCAAAAATCCATGTGTAGCTTTTGATTCCTCAAAAGCTTAACTACTAATAGCTTACTGTTGACTGGAAGCCTTACCAAGAACATAAACAGTTGATTAACACATATTTTGTATGTTATATGTATGATATCCTGTATTCTTACAGTAAAGTAAACTAGAAAAAAAGAAAATATTAAGAAAATCATTAAGGAAGAGAAAATATATTTACCATACTATCCTGTATTTATATGAAAAATCCATGTATAAATGGACCCACACTGTTCAAACATGCTGTTCAAGCGCAAACTGTATTTATGTATTTACTTTATTTTTTTTTAGAGAGAGAGAGCAGTGGGGAGAGGGGGAGAAGGAGAGGGAGTGAGAAATTCTTAAGCAAGCTTCATGCCCAGGGTGGAGCCTGACATGGGGCTCCATCTCACGACCCTGAGATCATGACCTGAGCCAAAACCAAGAGTTGGACGTTTAACCAACTAAGCCACCCAGGCACCCCAAAATACTGTTATAAAAAAG